ATAAGGGCAATAAATATATTTATTTTAACTTTCTTTATTATTTTTTTCATAAATACAAACTTTGTCAATTTACACTATTTCTCTATCTCTAATATTATCCTAAATATTAATATTTACCATCTCCAACTTCCAGGGCGATTTTCACCCCTTTACTAAATACCTGACAAATCTTTTTTTCTTTTTTTAAATACTGTATACCAAAGTTTCATCAAAATCGGTGATTACCACTTCTTTTTTTTTAAATTACTATACACCAAAGTTTCATCAAAATCGGTGATTACCACTTCGGTCTCGTTCCCTCGTTAATTCCGCATCACGCAGCATATGTACATATATCACGTAACATATATCAGTCTCTCTCAGGGTAGTTGGAGGTCGAGTGGCGGTCTGTCTACGATAAGGACATTCCAGCGGCAATTTCGAATCCCGCCTGCTCATTGGCAGCTATTTAAAAGCGGTCCTTCAGCCTCACTCACCAGCCAAGGATTCTCATAGCAGTTCGATGTGGAATCCGATCGACTTCAGTTCGAAACCATGTGATCTTTCACACTCTCTCCATCAATTCCTCAATTCTCTCCGTTATGAATCCATCTCAATACTTCTTCCTTCTCTTCGTCGGAACGTTCTGCGCGTACGGACTATGGAAATCAGGTTCCCTTTCCTGGCAATCGTCAACCGTGCACGCCAAAGCATCTATCCAGTTCGATCTCTCAATTCCAGCCTCGTCCCCGTCTTCCCATCGATTCTCCAACAAAACAAGCAAAAGAACCTCCAACAAAAACCATCGAAAATATCGCGGAGTTGTGTCCAAGTACATGTTGGAATTGTACCATCGACGATCAGACTTGGACATAGTTCGGGCCTTGCAACCGATCCACGTATCAGGACCAACCGACGATGGAGCCAGGATTCTAGTGTTCTCAGTGCCTCCGATAGATCCTGACGAGGCTCTGGAAGTAGCAGAGCTGCTAGGAGTCGTTGGATCCATTCTGAGAGTGCGTTTGGACGACGCGAGCACGTCCGAGAGCTGCAAGTCGAGGAGAGACGACGGTTGGAGGGCGTTCAACGTCACTTCAGCTGTAGCCATGAGGAACAGTGGTATCGTCAGGCTTCGAGTGTACGGGAAAGTTGGCTATCATCCCTGCGGAGACGGTCCTATCTTGCTACTCAGCTACTCCAAGGTGAGAAAAAAGCGTCCACGTCGTTCGGTGCAAGAGGAGGACTTGGACGAGGGTGACGGTCCGCGAAAACGACGGAAGAACTCTTGCAGACGACGCTCCTTGTACGTGGACTTCGCGTTGATCGCGTACGACGAGTGGGTCGTTGCTCCGCCTGGCTACGAAGCGTATCAGTGCTCTGGAAAGTGTTTCTATCCGTTCGGAGACCATCTCAGCCCGACGAAACACGCGATCGTGCAGACGTTGGTGCACGGAGCTCTTCAGGGTGTCGACAGCGGAAGCAAACCAGTTGGGAGGGCTTGCTGCGTGCCGACCAGGTTGGCGCCTACCAGTCTCTTGTATCTGGACGCCAGTGGGACGTTGACGTATCAGTACGGTTATGAGGACATGGTTGTAGCTGAATGCGGTTGTCGTTGAGGTGTTACCGATGAGAAATGTCCAAGGTGACAAGTGGATTTTATGGGGTTAGATATCACCACTGAGGTTTGAAAAAATCGAATTTTTCTTCTTTCTTTTTTTCGCTTCTGTTGACTAGATGTTTTGTCCCTATGGACTATTTTAGACGAACTTTCATTTTTAATCGTGATAGATAAAAGCGTTTCTTTTTTGTTGTACGTGTGTATAACTAGTGAAATTGTTTAGAGGAACTTCTAATGGAATTAATTTACGAATAAGTTATTAAATAAGTGCAAAAGTTTTATTTATTTACAGATGTAAAGTACCAGTAAACGATGTTATTAAAATATATACAATTTTTCGTATAATTTCTCTGTTGGAAAAATTCTTTATATTTTTATGTAAAAAGCAATCTGTATACATAAAAATTGTCTATAAAATAGTTTTTCTGTAATCTTTGTGGCATTCATGTACTTAGCTGTATAAATGTGCTTGCAACATTTTAATATAATAGAGATTCAAAATTTGAAATATCAAAGTATTTGACAATCTAGTGAACAAAATTTCAATACTTATTTCATTGAAAGTGACAAGTTTCTTGACTATTTACGAGTCTTGTAATGGAACTATTGAAAGGCACATGAAAATTAGAAAAAAAACATGTTTTATGATTAAACTTCATATTTTACATGCATTTACTTCATCAATTTACTTGTGTGAGAATCGAGAAAAAAGAAAGTTTAAAGATCTGTCGCATGTTTATCACTTTCACTGTCGCCGCCTAATTACATCTTCTCTTGGTTCCTTTACATACATTACTATTCATAAATATTTGCCCAAGTATCTTTCTTTCTTTATTCAAAGATTTGAAAAAATTTTTCAAAAGAATTAAATTCTTCTAAATAAAAATTACAGAAAAACGAGTTAAACCCTTGACTTCTTCCTTGGAAACTGGTTAAATGAAGTTACTTACAAAAATAAAGAACACTGTGATCAAAAGGGTGTGCAAATACTAATGAGCAGTAGTGTACTGTGCGGTGCTTAGGAGTTTGCCCCCGGGGCGGCACGAAGGGCAACAAGGGCATTTCGCTTGCTCTTCCCGAATTTTTAGCTACGCGGTGCTATACGATTCGATTCGTGGATGTTATCGCGTTCGACCAATAGCAACAGTACGTGTGCCCTATTTCTATGATTGCGTTAGAGAAGTTAGGCTTAGAGTACTGCGTAGAGCTCAGGAGTTTGCCCCTGGAAAGAATGCGGGTCTGATTGGGTCATATCCCCATAAGTCCATCTTTTCTAACACAATCATAGAAATAGGGATTGTGGGAAAACGAAGATTCGGGAAGGGTGAGCGAAATGCCCTTGTTGCCCTTATGCTGCCCCGGGGGCAATCTCTTGAGCACCGCACAATACATATATGTGGAGGTTCTTGATCCTACACTTTTAATGCAGAAACGTCTCAGACTTTTTTTCGTCTCGATTTAGATGTATAAATAAAAAAATTTTCGTTCAGTCTAGCAAACATATAGACTTTGATCTCTCATTTTTCTAATTCGTAAATCTTTGTCTTTCGTATCATTGTATAGGGCGTAAAATAGACAATAATATATTTCAACGTATGATATATTTTTCAATTCATGTACAAAACTGTCTTGCTTCGCTCTGAGTTTTATATAGTATAAATTCGTAACAAAAATAAGTAACTTGATGTGTTTACAACTCTTTATAATCTTCAGTTCATTTTTTAAAATCTATGTATATGTACCTGTAATTTTCCGAAAATTTATAGCCTTTTAGATCGACGTATCATTCGCGTATGCAGATGTGTTTCAAAATGAAATAACCAAACTGCACAGGAAAATATGATTCACGAGTAAAATGAAGAAGAATGGTATATAAACATAGAATAAATAATACTCTATTAAAAAAAAATCGAATTAAACCATAAGACATAGAAACTTTACAATGTTGACTTTTTACTAACGAAGAATCATCGAAGAAAAATTGTACCAAGCAACAATCACTATTTCAGTGATATACCAACTGAAATGATTGTTACCTTCGCGCAAAAGAATATACAGAACCAATTTGATCGATTAATTTCAGAACACCTTTTATATCAACCATTATAACTGTCCCCACACAAGGTCTCTCTCTTAAACTGCATAACCATTAAAAATTGATTCGAAATCGGAATATAAAACAGACAAACCTACGATAAAAAAGAACTGGAATGACTTGAGAATGATATTCATTGGGATAAAACCTCGCTCATTCATGAATTGTAAATGCACCATGTACAAGGTAGAAAAATACCTAGGACACCCGTAGTATCTTGTGTAACACGTGAACGATATTCCCTCCTCAACACACTAAAACTCCCCACGGAAGAAGAAGATCGACAACGCCATCGATAACTGTCTTCGAATAAAATCTAACAAAACCCCCCACGGTAACATCAACAACAGTCTACAAAAGTTAACTAAACACTTTCGAGCACATCTCGTTGTTCTTCCTATTCAACAGATAACACCTTGCAGGACTGTACAGCCTCATTCTTCTCGTCTTCCTCAGCTTATGCCTGCTTCCTGCCACTCGTTCCACTTTGTACACCTGATATTTCACCAGATTTTCCAGCTGGTTCAGTCGCATGCACAACGAAACCGGCCCAGAGAAGTCCACGTCAGTGGCCAGCTCTAACTTTGGCTCCATCGTCATCGAGAATTCCGCCATGCTTTGCACAAAGTCGGACCGCACCTTTGTCCCACCTTGAACCACAACTCCAGCCTTCAAATCCACCAGAGATTGCGCATTTCTGGACCAAAGGCTCAGTTGGATCTGTCCGGCAAGTTCGAAGCTTACCGCACCCTGCAAGTCAATCTCCGCAACGAATCCAGAAGCCAGTGGAATGTACTCGTTATGGTTGTGGGTTGCAGTTAGAACCTGGAAGGCTGGAACACGTTCTAAAGCTGTGCCAGACCAAACGTGACCCATGAGTTCCCCTTGGCCAGAGAAGAAGACGAACGGTCTGATACCGACGCCTAGAAAGTCCAGTTCCATTCCAGCTGTGGCTAGTTCATCATCCTGCATCTCTTCTTCTTGGCTCGAGGTTGAAACGAAGCTTCCTAGGCCACCAGCGAACAGACCAAGTGAGAACAATGCCTCTTCGTGGTCCTCGATTTGCAGAACTACGTCGACTGTTCCGCGTTTCATCAATCCTGAGTTTATCTCTTGAACAGTTACCAGCGATCCATTGCTGTCTGCTGATCTTAAGAAACTCCTAGTGAAGGCTGTGCTCAGACCTTTCTGCGCGAGCACGTTATAGTTCACTACATTCCTTCCAGCTTCGCTCAGAACTTCGTCTAACTTTTCAGCTAATTCACGATCTTTTTCGGATAACTGTTCTAAACGCTGGCTAAGATACTTTCGTACCTCGTAGGCAGAATCTGTGCCTGCCAGGTATTCCACCAGGTATCTTATGTCTTCCTTCAACGGCTTCGTCTCCAGAATCACGTCCAACGCCAGAGTTCTGACACTGCTGTCCCTCTTAGGCCCGCCTAATTGATAGAAGACCCGTTTCGCTGTCGTTTTCACTTCCGAAGTTATCGAATCCCTGGGAAGAGCTAATAACGCTTTCCAAGCTACCACGCTCAGAGCTCTATTCTCGCTTGTTGCAAATTTCAACAATGTTGGAATCGCAGCCTTGCTTCTCAAGTTTCTTAGAGCTCTGAGGAACTTCAGCTTGCACTCTTCTCCCGTGCAACTGTCCAGGCCGATTTCTAAGCTGATTCTAGCCTTCTCAACAGCATGAGGGAAGTGACGAGACATAGCTGCTGCAGTTAAGGCTATCGTTTCCGAAACTTTGTCGTTAGGGTGTGTCTCTTCTGATCGTTTCAATAGATCCATAGCGATATCCACGTCTGGAGTTGGAGATAAGGATAGGGCCCAAAGGTACCTTTCAGTTTCATCGCCTGTTTCGTCCTGTCGCAACATCTTCATTGCCGCCTGATAACTTGCTACAGTTGAAGCTGCACCAAAAACGTCCAGCAGTTGTGGCTTTATTTGGCGATTTCGCGGTCTCTTCAGGAGTTTCAGCAACTCTTCTTGGGAAGACGATTTGACTAGAGAGAGGAGCTTCAACAATGCTGAAGCAGATTTTCCTGTGCCCAGAGCGTTGCTTTCTAAGGCGCTGCGATATTCGTCGACAGTTTGCTCCAACTGGAATTCGACAATTTCAAAATAGACAAAGTTGAAATAGTTAGATTTGAAAAGAGATTTGTTGTGCATCGAACATTTCACGAACAATTTTATTCTTACAACAGTATTCTTGCAGGATGATTAATTATAAATTTATGCTTGAAATAATAACTGTAAGTATTATATTTTGAACACAAAGAGAGACTTGCGTATTGAACATTGTTCTATATCTTTAATAATTAAGAAAATCAATGGGTCTTTTAATTATTTTCGAACGAATTATTATTATTCTCTATTTAATTCAATTTTCATAATATGATTATGCTTGGCGATTATGTTAACCTTCGGACGGTGGATGCCTCCTTATGTTTCTTACTTTAATCGTAATATATTTGTATAATTTTAAACAACACGATGCCTAGTAAAATTAAAAAAAAAAAAAAAACCAATGTAGTTTCGAACGAAAAAGAATTTATTATTGGGTCATATTTGACCCGACATCCGCGGTACCTGCGATTATCACTCTATCCGCTGTCCAAGGGTTAAAAATAGATAAGTGAGTATCCTTGAGCAATTTGTTACCAACTTTAGTTACGCAATTTTGAATAGAATCACAATAATTACTGTGCGACTTCAAAAGGTTTCAGCGTTCTATGACTTCTACATCCGTTCCTTTACTCATCTCTGATTTGTTAAGATATAAATAAACAGAGAACAGGAAACGCTTGACTGAATAAAGTTATCGATTCGCGTGATAATTTTACGTGTTTCCGTCTATCCATCATCGCGCTATTGACTTTGGCGAGAAAACAGTTTCTCTCTATTAATATAAAACGTTTACGAAATATTAAGGAAGGTGACCAAATTCAATTTCTCGAAATGAAAATAAATCAATACAAAGGTAAACGTTCTAATCATCATCGTCTGCGATCAAAATTGAAATTTACGTTTTCATAATAAAAACAACTTACAAATATTTATTTTTAATCCTACATTACTTAGTAGTAATAGTAGAGTTTTACCATACTAACATTACATTAGTTGTGTCATTTGTAAAGCAAAAATACGAGTGACGATTGGATCTTGTCTAAGGGACACAGCACTTTTCATCATTTGCCCGATGGATGGCTTCAAGTTATAAAAAGCAATTAAAAAGCACAACTTGCTATATTTTTCTTTCTTCTTTTTTTAAACAAACTCTGAGCTCCACTGAAAAATTTCGATTATTCATTCGCGCACCTAGTACATAGGGAGGGAGAAAAAAAAACAGAGAACACGAATGAAAAACTGCAAACTAACCATCGGACATCCGGTATCAGGACAAGCGGAAGGCTCCCATTGTAGCCTCATACTCATTTCCATCGTTTGAGGTAGCAAATCAGTAACAGTCTGCGACAAGGTGTTAGCTTGCACGGTTGTCGCGCTGAGCGTGTCAGACACCAGCTCGAGTATCCTCTTCGACGTGACCATAGTGCCTATTTCCGGTCTGGCGGTTAACATCATCCTGTGCACCTCGTCGTCGCGAACCAGGCTGGGCAGAAGGTGTTCCGTGAGCTCGTAAGTAGAATTCCGAGTACTGGTGAGCTTCATGCAAAACAGTGGATTAGGATGTCGTTTCGTTAACGGCAGACCATCCTCTTTGCAGAATGTTTTCCGCTTTTCCACCGTCTTCGGTCCGAGCGAGTGATAAGTCACGTTGCAGAGACCGGAAGCGTCTTGTTCTTGAACGTCGCCGTCGAGCACTCGGTATTGCAACAGGCTGGCCAGGCCACGTTTCAGATTTGCCGAGGAGAAGCTCTCCCTGACGTCCATAAATATGGAACGTACTTCGCCTTCTCTCCAAACCAGCAGCATGTGATGCTCGGCAAGCTCGTTCATCTTGGAGGAATGCTCGACGAACCCTTCTGGTTCTGGAGCTCTTCGAGATTTGATCCATAATTGTGGTTGTAACAGCTGTAAAGGAAAGGACGAACGTTGAGAGAAATATTATACAGGATATTGTAGCAAATGTTGATAATGATTGAGGGAACGATAGAAATTAGGTAAAGATGTTGCCCCTAATGCGGTCTTCGGGTCTTTTTTGACCCATCGGCTTATTTTTTTTTAATAACTTGCTGTTATAAAATTTACATTTCCTTTAATATTATATTAGAGGTTTATTATCTAGGTTCGTATGGCGTGCTGATAACAAAAATTGTGGAACATAAAGTCTCTGCGTCTTTCTTTGACCCAAGGATCTTAAATCTCTGGATATTTTTTTACTCAAAGATCTCAAGTCTCTGGGTCTTTCTTGACTCAAAGATCTCAAGTCTCTGAGTCTTTCTTGACACAAAGATCTCAAATTTCTGTGTCTTGATTGACACAACGATCTCAAATTTTTGAGACTTTTTGACCCAAAGATCTCAAGCCTTTGGATCTTTTATGACCCAAAGACCTTGAGTGTACAGTCGAATGGAAGAACGCACTAGGGTTAATGTGGGAATGGAAGTTTTCTGTGAATATTTACAACAAGTGAAATTATAACAGACAAAATTATATACTACTAAATAATTTTGGTACCAAATTTACAGGAGCGTAACATTATCGATAATTACAGAATATTAATATTCACAAATGCGTTTAAGATTATAGGGGAAATGTTTATTTGAATGAATGTGCTTAGAACGATGTTTCTATTAGATTTTTGCAATCAAAATTCGAGAAACTTTAAAAAATTGTTAAATAGTGTTAGACAGTGCTTAAGAAAGATTGCAATTTGCATACATAGTTTATACAAATTGATTAACAGCTGTAAATTATAAAACATGTCAGTGACATGTCGTTAATTTATTACAAATTCTCACAAAAAAAAAAGATTTTCACTGAATAAAAATTATATACATTACAGTGTGTAATATTTCATTAGTAATGTAATTAAAACAACTTTTAATCTTCAAAACTGAAGTACTAATTCTAAGCTATACTCAATTTAATATTTATCAAAGCGTGTTATACTTCAGCCTTTCGATGAAAGGTTATCAGCTTTATATTGGAAATACAATCTTTTTCTACTTATCGCTTGCTCGTTGATAAAAGTGCCATTTATGAGAGCAAACTTGAATTTTAAATAACCAATAACGAATGTTCTAATTTTTTTTTTGTAATTTTCGTGCGTATAATCCTCGCGAAATAATACGAAAATAATTTTTAATATAAATTTTATCATAATTACTTACGATTAAGAAATATTACAACTAAAAATACTACAACAGGTAGGAATAATTTTTCTTGCTCCTAGAATTTCATTTCCATTCAGAAGAATACTAATCCTTATACAGAGTGACTCATTTTAAAGTATGTTGAATTGAAAAACTTGCTTTTCGGTGATTGAAAGGCAGTAAAGGGAAACAGTAAAGAAAACACAAAGTTTCATCGAGAAAACATAAAATGATTGTAAACACAATAAAAATAGAGTTATCATAGATACATCTGTTTGTACACTTTTTAAATTACACATTAATTATATAGTTTAGCAAAAAAACTACTAAGAGTTACTTTAAAAACCACCTTTACTATCTTTTCCCACTCCTTATTATCAAAGCATTATTTTACAACTCATTTGCATAACATTATTTCTAACACTTCGGGGGTCAATACTCAAATTTTTATGACATAGGTAATAAATTATTGTGGTAAATTAGTTTATGAAAGACCGAGAAACAGACCCAAGGTCACACATATTATTTCATTTTAAGACTGAATTTTTAAACGTAAAATCAAAATGCCTCACAATATACTTTGAATTTTTCTAAATTCTTCTATAAAAAATATACTTTTAACACCTAATCAAATCTATAATTTCCTTTATACACCTATCATCATACTTGTTTCTATTTTGAAAAGAAAAATATGTGAAAATATTTAGTAACACCAAAAGAACCCCAAATTTCAAAGTGTTTAATCCTTCCTATTGATGTATTCATACATTCATAATTCATGTCTTTACGCGATAAAATACACCTTACAAATAGAACCAAGTGACATACACAAACATCTCAAACATATCAATCTTCTCAGCATTAAATACTCATTTCTCTCACACATCCCTTTATTTAAATAAGAAAAAAAAGACAAAAAAATTTTAAACCCTATTTTTGTATCATCGCTTGCACAATCAAAATATACCTAGTATTATGAGTAGTGCTAAACATTGTGCAGAAACATTTTAAGAACACCAAACATAAAGTACTCGAATTCTCAGATTCTCAAATTTTCAGATTTTCAAATTCTCAAATCCTCAGATTCTCAAATTCTCAGATCTTCAAATCCTCAGATTCCCAAATTCTCAGATCCTCAAATTCTCAGATCCTCAAATTCTCAAATTCCCAGATTTTCAAATTCTCAAATTCTCAGATCTTCAACTCCTCAGATTCTCAAATTCTCAGATTCCCAAATTCTCAGATTCTCAGATCCTCAAATTCCCAGATTTTCAAATCCTCAGATCCTCAAATTCTCAGATCTTCAAATCCTCAGATTCTCAAATTCTCAGATTCCCAAATTCTCAGATTCCCAAATTCTCAAATTCCCAGATTTTCAAATTCTCAAATTCTTGTTCAAAACAAGAACTATTCCCTTCCAAACAAAACACCAACAACTCCTACCTCAATTTTCAGCAAGAAGGTATTCAAATCGTCTGGATTCTGCCAAACAGCGGTTACGTCCAGCTCGCCGGTCAAACGGAAACCAACGTCCCCGCTGAATTTCGATGGGGCAGTCTCGCTGAACAATAAGGTCGTAGTCAGTTTATATTTCAGCCCGCTTCCCACTTCCCAGCCTCTGGTAACCCCGGCCACGGCTGCAACAATCAGGCACACCTTCCAGTACATCATTAGCAAATAGCCAAGAACCACGTGAGAATTAATGCTTGCATCCACTTCAGGACACGTTTGAGAAACAACACAACGCGTATGAATTTTAGAATGTAACCCGGCGACAGTCACGCGTCAACTGACAAATATTGTTACTCTGGATTCGCTTGCCTAAACCGATGAGACACAGGATACCGGTTGCCTGTGTATGCGTGCCTCGTTCATCCCATAGCATGTGCTTCGACAAACATGTATTCGTAATACCTATACACACGTGTTGCTTGTGTGCGATTAAATATATACATGTACAATATTCGGTGACCCAGCGCTTATAGAGTTACGAATTAATATTTTTTCTCTCTCACAGTTGACGTGGTGGGGGCGTTAAGGAGATAGGAGAGGGGGCGATAGGTGCACAGTGATTTTAGCCAGGATTCACAGTGTTTAGCAGGGTCGTGTTTATACATTTGAAGGCCTTAGGCGCAACGCCATTACGAGATCCCAACATCAGATTCGTATACACTGTTTTTTTGAAGTTTGTTGAAAATAAAGGTCGACACTTCCATAATGACTCATTTCGATCAAATGAAAATAACACAACATTTAAAGTATAGAAATAAATCAGTTCAAATTTAAATTAAAAAGAATTTAATGTTTAAAAATAAGTATTTTATTTTGCTACTATAATTAGGCTGTTTTCTCCATTGTTGTTTGTGAGGAGTAAAGTTTTAAAGTGTGGCCCCAGTTTGCGCCTTATAGTAAAGACGGCCCTGGTGAGTGGCGCGCCTACTGGTGGTGGGGAGAGAGTTTTTGGAGTTAGTGGTGATTCATGGTAGTAATTTGTTGAAGGTAACAATATCGTAGTATGTTTGAGCGTTAGAATATTATTTTATAATCTTATTTTCTCTTTCTTTGTTTGACGAGATGACTGTGATATAAGTGAATTATTGTGAGTTCGTGAATTTAATAAGACTGTTTCATCGAAAACAGTGGAATTCTTTTAATTTTATTTAAGTGAAATATTTACGAGTTTTTTCCTCTTTTGTACACAGGGTGAGTTGCGAAATTGGGACTGTTTGTAGAAAAAAATTGTCGAGGAAAAAGTACAACGGTATAGAAAAGTCTACTTTCTTACGATTTCACTTTTTTCATAAGTGCAACGGCGCATCTCAAATGGAACAGCATTTCTTTTTTTATGTAGACCGATTCTTCGGAACATTCTGCGTAAAAAAATATTTCTTCAACTTTCTACAGTTATTTCAAAAAGCTCTGAATATTCATTTTTACTATCCTTTTGTCAAACAATACTTTCAGTATTTATTTCTTAAATTGCAAATTATCGCGTTTGCTCAATTAATAAATAATAATCACTTAAATCAGATGGATTTAAACAAAAAAAAAAAAAAAAGATTAAATAAACTTGCAATTTATTTCACTCGATACAATAAATTTGAAATGCCGTAAAACGTTCCATTTCTTTTTTTACTTACGTTAGACAGATAATGTAGATTTAATGGTAACTGTGCAAGGCAATATTGCCTGTGAAAATTAACACGCAAATCTATTCAAGTCAATTCATAACTACTCGTCCTACCGCGTCTTTACCTTCTACAGTGTAAAACCAATGTAAGAAAATAATGTCTTGAAAAAGAAACAACAACCATAATCGTAATTACATATTTGCGAAGGCACTTAATGTACATCACTGTCTGCACTTAAGCATCTATGAGTAGAGTGCACAGGCACACATTCACACGATTCTGCATGCAGGGTAACCGGAAAATACAGTAAAAATTTGAAAAACTAATATGTACTACCTACTCTTGAAATAGAAATTTTTAAACAATTCTTAACAAAAGTATTTCCTTTTTTAATCAAATTACAATACCTAATATAGTCTTCTACAGTTAAAATTTCAATAAACTTGTATATCTCTGAAAATATTTTTCACTCGTATTTAGAGCTCTTTTGGAAAACCAAAAATTACATTTAATTCCACAAAAACTGTAGCAAATGATAAATGTTCATAAAAAGATTATTACTGTAATAGAAAAAAGGAAACATGTTAATAATAAACATTGCATTCCCAACAATTAGCGACTTCTTGCATAATATTATTTAAATTCTTCTACTTCAAATCACAAAACGTGCGCTTATTACACCCCATAATATATTCTGAACACCCTGTATATTTAATAGAGCACACGCAACAAATACTTTGCCTTCATCAACGACGTCGAACACACGTTATCACTCAGGGTAGTCCTGTTTCCCATTCACAATGAAAGTACATACTCTGAATCAAATTTTTCTAATGCCTGTGATTCGTTCAATTTTCCTGTCTAAAGTATAATGCTAAATTATGTGTTTCTCAACAATTCTTCGTGCTTAGACACCTATTTTCCATTCACTGAACACTCCATTTTATCCGTTCCATTTCTTTCCAACAATTATATTTCACACATTCCAATCCAAGAGTTCGCGCTTCCGAGTCACCCGGTATGCAACCGCGCGCGTGCTCCACGCATACAGAAACGTCACCGTCTGGATCGCTCTTCTAAAAACGACGAGGCACGCAGCGTGGAGTATACCAGATGCATGCGTATCAGCATCCTTTTGCGTGTATATACGCATTTACGCACACGGCACGAGCATAGGATAGACACCGTTAATTCACGAAGTCCCTGTTACACGACAAAGACGCGGAAATAGTAGCACCGTTCTTGTAATTAAACGGAAGACAACCTGCTGAAAACGAGTAATTCTTCGAATCAAGGATACCGCTTTTTCTAATCGAGAATGAAAAGGAAATTAAGTGAAAATATGATGTATGTAACAAAAGTTTCTAATTGTAATAAATCTTTTTTCTTTGTTAAATGAGTGTTTCTAAGTTGAACATATTCGAGAACTGTAAATGTAGTATTTTTACAAATTTAATATCATTGTTTTTTTGTTTCTTTTCTGTAGTTCCTTTAAATTTCGAATCTAAAGATAGTATAAGTCAGTGAATTAAGAAATTTAATTGTCCTTATATTTTGATTCTTGATAATACGTATACTATAATACACTTTAAGTATTAATTACTGTGTGATTTAGGCAAATATTAAAGTCAGATACAATTACTTTCAGTTTATTTGTAATCTAATCGTATTTTTAACAATAAGAATTTTAGGTTCTGAGTTATATTATTTTTATTGTAAAATGGTAACATGTGATAAAATATTCGAAAAAATTATTATTCATTATCTAATAATGAAAATACAAAATTTTCTCCAATATTGTATCACATTATTATTTTACGTTAAAAGTAATATAAATGAAGATATAAATGCAACAAACGTTCTTTATTATTTATATTATCGAAGACTTAAAGATACACTAATAAACTCCAGTAAATAAAATTTTTGTTTAATTATCAAGGATATAGATATTTCAAAGCCTTGAGGCTGTTTATGAAACATAATTGCAAAGTAATTGACACATAATTCAACATTAATCTCACATAAACTAGATTATTAACGATCGTCATATTAATTCAGGACCTGTATTAATTATTTCAGAATTTTCTATCCCTAGTAAAATACCAATGCCAAATGGAATGCAGTCCGATCATGAATACCTAACCACTACTAGGTTACCCAAGATCAGTTATCTCGCCAAACAGGCTCGAATTCTTCCGTATTTCATACATCCAGATTCTATGACATCTTATCTAAATATTTTATCCTGAACGTTAATGACTCACAAAGAAAAAAAAAAAAAGGAAATTGTGGTGGAGGAAGCTAAATTCACAGCTTATTTTTAATATTTTCAATTTTTTTTAATTATCCCTTTCAATATTAATATTTTTAATTATCTGTTTCTCTCTTCGAATTATTTTACAACTTTAAAACGAAAAATATATAAATTTACCTGGTGCCATTTGACAGTAGGAACCTGAAAAGAAGGAAATTTCAATTAGGTACGATTCTCGATCAGTTTTGGACTAATTAGAAATGATTTTTTCGTTATATAGCTTGCAATAGGGAACGATAACTATTTTATCTGAATGGAGAAATAGAGAGTTCCGAAGGTTACATTCTCAATTACCAAACACGTACAAAGTTCGATATCAGAAAAGAAAACTGGAGTCATAGATATCAGACAAAGTAGTAGCCTTTGAATTAGTCATTGTTTAGTATTCCAAATTAGTCACTCGTTAAGCAGCTTTCAGAATGATTTTCAAAGATTATTTGTTAATCTGTACAAATAATTCAATCATTTAGTAAAGGAAATAATTTTTATAAATAAATTAAAACACAATATTAGTATAACAATCATTTGATATAGGAAAGTGATATTTCGACTGGATACAAATCGTCAAATAGAATTTTCGATCCTAAAGAACTGTTTATTAGGAACAGACTATATAATTAGAAGTATAGGTTAGGTATACATATATTTATTTCGTAAAATATCCATTTTGCTTTTTCTAAGTATGTATTGATAAATGATTAAAACAAAATTATTTTCTTTGCGTTTTTATGGATTCACATTATTTGTTTAAATGTCCAACCACAGGGTAACAAATATCTATACAAAAGGACCAAAGCAACAGGTGTTAAACGTCGATGGTGCCCTATATTGATGATGTCCTTGTAATATTTTACAAGGTACTAATTTCATATTTTTCAAATTAATTTATAAAATTCGTTAATCATTTTATATACAGTGTGTCCGTTTTATCTGGTTTTTATGAAAGCAGAGTTACTGTTATTGTAAGGGTTGTTTGATATAGAGGGGGAGGTTGTGTGGTGTCAGTAGTTTTTTTTTTTATATCAAGTTTAATTACGTTTAAATTGAATTAATTTTTTTTAATGGAATGCTGTGCATCTTTATTATTAAGATGAGTACAACGGTGCGCCACATAAAGTCGTTAAATGTAGATCACAAGTTAAGGAGATCCCAAGGAGTCAGATCAACGAGAATAGCAAGACGTCGGCAAGTTGAACCCTATGTAATCGTGTTACGAACTCCAATTAGACCACTCAGTATCTGCTAAAGTCACTGACTGACTTTGACAAGCCCTATCATGTTATGACTATATAAGGATGTATTGTGTCCCATTGAAAAAAATTTATCTGACCTTGAAGTCTTTCTAGACCACACAATGCCCCCCTCCATATCAAACAACTTTCATAATTATAATTTTTTCATATTTTCAATGGTCTGTGAGATATTTATACACTGTACAAATCACTTTTATTGTAAATGAAATGATTTTCATTTGGTTATACACGTCATCTGGACAGCTCCATTAAACGCCCTTCGGTATATACTCTCCCGTTACCTCGATCCAAATTAATTTAAACATCACCGAAGAACAGTTTCAAAACAGTTTCTTTTTACGGTAAAAAAAAATCCACCACAGCAACGTTGCATATTTCTCATAACCTTATCATAAATGACTTCACAATAGGGAACAAGATAATTCTTTCAAATTGCTTCGAGATAATGGGAAAGTGGCCACCCACTCCATATCTGTCCTGCTTCCCGGTTAGAAAACTATACACCGTAACAAAAACATTAGACCTTTAGAGAAACAATTCAAAGGAACGAACGAGCCACCAGTGTAATCCCGTGAAGATTTGAATGTAGCGGGGATAGCGTGGCGCGAGAGAAGCGTAGGAGTTCAGCACGCGAAAGCAGGCGGGCCAACATAAACTGGTAACTCACCGAAGAGCGCCAGAAGGTAGACGAGAGAGACGGTGAGCACCGTGACCGGCGTTTCCGGGCAGGCCATCCTTTGTTCGTTTCTCACAGACGACCTTCCTCGTGTGTACTACACCGTACTCTACGTCTTCTACGCTATTCCGCGCCTGTCCTCTTCTCCTTCTGCGAGTAAATACGAGTAATTAGACGGGGCAAGCCTGCGTTACTTTCTTCTTCTTTTTCTTTTTTTCATTAGTTTCCTCCTGTGTTGTTTTGTACGGTGCCTGGGACGGTTTGGATGCCCTATAACCCGTTTGTTACCTGGAGAGGATAGGTTTAGTTACTTGTCTTGTTAGTTGTGTTATTCATGAGTCATGCAGGAAAAACTTTCAAAAACCCGTTAGCATGTGTTAGTTAGAAGTGAGGATGGTTTTAGGGAGGCGTGGTATGTTTCTTTTGCGGGATAATGGGATTTCATGTTACTTATGAGTGGGTTACTGTGTGTGATTGAAAATGTTTTGTGTGAGGGATTTGATGTACGTTCTTATGTCAGGAATATTAGCTTGTGCGTGAAGTTTGACAGTGAGGTAGTCTCGTGGTGCATTGAGTATTATTCTTAAGAAGCGGTTTTGTGTTCTCTGGGCTTTGTTGATGTGTTTCGGCTACAGGGATCCATGCTTGTGGCCCATAAGTGAGGATGGGTCTGATGCATGCAGTGTATAAGAGTATTTTGTGTTTGGTTGGGAGGGAACTGTCTCTTCCAATCAGTGAGTATATTAATCTGGTGATTCCTAGGGTTTTTTGCATCCTGTCTTCTATGGCCTGTTTTCATGTAAGTTTGGTGTCCAATTGACTGTGTTTTCGTGGTTAGTTGAAGTGGGGTGTTGATGTTTTTAGCGCTGAAAATGATAGCTTCTGTTTTGTTTATGTTAGTGTTAAGAGATTTGTATTAAATATTCTGGGACAGTGTTGAGGTGTAGTTGAAGTTTCTTTGCTGCTTGTTGGGTTGCCAGGAGGATGTAAAGAGTACAGTGTTGTCTGTGTACATTGCTGTGTGTATTTCTTTGTACCTAGGAATGTCATTTATATATGTATATATTAAATAGAATTGGTCTGATAATTGATCCTTGTGGTACTCCTGCTGTGGTAAGTTTGATGTTGAATTTGTCTCCTGCTACTGTTATTTGGAATGTTCTGTTGGTGAGAAAGTTTTGGATTATTTTGATCAATTCAATGGGGGGTGTTGATTTTGTTCAGTTTATAAATGAGGCCATTATGCCAGATTGTGTCGAATGCTTTCTAGATGTCTAAGCATAGCCATGACTGTGACTCTGCTTTTGTTAAATTCAAGTATGACATGTTCAGTGACTCAAGAATTTGTTGTATTGTTGAGTGTCCTTGTTTAGTACATTGAGTATGATTTTTTCTAGGATTTTTCCTAATATACTGAGTAGGCTGATGGGCCTGCAGTTTAGTGGGTGTGTTTGACTTTTCTTGGGTTTAGGGAATGTCATAATTTTTGCTGTTTTGCTGTTGGAAATATGAAACCTTGTCTGCTTGTCTGAAGATGTGGAAGAGATGAATTATTGGTTTTTTGGGAAGGTTTTTGATTTGAATAGGAGTTATGCAGTCTGGTCCAAGAGCTTTGTTGTTTTTTAGTGATTTGATGTGGTTCCTTATTGTTTGTGGGTTGTTGAAATTAGTGTTTACTTGTGTTGGTGTGTTTTGAATTCTAATTGCAGTTTATGTTGCTATAGTATCCCATAGTGAATTTATATGTATTGTAGATTGATGGATTTGTTGGAATGTTTGGCTGAATAAGCCAAGAGTACAGGGCACTAGCTTTAGTTTGCAGAGTGGTTGCCTTTATAGTTGAAGCATGTAGCTGGGGTATCTGGAATCTTGGTACATTCATGCATGTGGTGTGACCCTGTGCACTTAAGGCAATTTAGGTTTTTGGTACAGTTGGAGAAGATATATTCATGCGCTTGGCAGTGGAAGCATTGTATGAAGGATTTTTTGGAGTTTGGGTTAAAGACTGTTTGGTTTTGAGTTCTTACAGGATTTCCATTGTGCTAACCCTGGGAAGACCTTTGAGGACTAGTGATATATGTTTTTGATTTTGTAAGGAGTATGTGTGATATTGGATTTTGTTTTGGGTGCAGAAGTCTCTGAACTTTAGGTGATTTTTAAAGGAGTGGAATTTGATTTTGATTTGATTTCCAAGGTACTTGACTTAGAAACCATTGCCTTATGTATTTTTTGGAGTTGTTATACGTGTGGTGTATTCCCTTACTTGGGAATGAATGTATATAGGGGCTGGAGGTATACTGTCATCCAGGGTAGTTGTTGGGGAGTCAGTCACAGTGAGTTTTTGATTGTCGTGCTTGGAGATGGTGGCAAGATTATTTTCTATGAAGCATTTGGATAGTGCCTGGTTTGGGTTGGAAGTTGAGATATTTTGGGTGTGTTCTAGTTCCATACCCGTATTGTTTTCTATCTTTGGCTTTGCTATAATGGTAATTCCGAAGTCGTTGAGGGATACTGAGCGTTTCCTTATTCTTAGGGTTGTGGTGTATGGGTCGCTTTCTTGTCGTGCATGGTGTTCTGTTGTCGATGTAGTTTTACCCTCCACCGTGAAGGGCTCCTTGAAATTGCGGAAGATGTTTTCCAGATGTTTTCCTTCCTTCTTTCCTCCTGTTTGAGTCTTTCGTATCTCCGAGTTTCCTCTACCGGTGTCGTCCAATGCCGATGTCGATGATAATAAATTTCACTTCGAATGTTCTCTCAATGATCTATTTGTCTCTCAATTGAAACTTTTTAAACAGAAACTTTGATAAACCAAAAATGCATTGGTCCGGACCAATGCGTCGCGGTTGACCGAGTCAGTGATTTACTGTGAGTGTGGTCCCTGTCTGAAGCCTGCGTTATCGAACCTCGCGACCATTTCTGACGTTTCTCTCCCCTCCGTGTGGAATCGTTCCCCCTCCCTCTCCACTGGACCTGTTTCCATGGGGGAAAGGGAAACGACGAACGCGTGGGGATGTTTATTGATCTGCTCTGTCACGGTGCGTTCGGATACGAGATGGGCTAGTTCAACGGTTTTATGGTGTACTTAACGAAACAGGGCATTTACGGAGTGTTTATTTAGAATTTTTGATTAGGTTACGTTAGGTTAGATAAGATAAGTGGTTTGAAAGTTTTTAAGAGAGAAAATTGTCTAATTATTATTAAAAGGGCACGTGTCCATATTCACTTTAACCGACCTCTTTTTAATAATATGCCAAAAATGATCAGCTTTATTTTTTTCTAAATTATTTTCTGGGTGTATAGAAATAAGTTTCTTGTTATTACTAAATAAGTTTTTGTTATAATAGAAAGGATAACGCAATGTGGAAAGTGATGAAAACATATAAACAAAATTGTACTTAAGGTGTTAATGTTTAAATATGAATTAAATCTTTTTTTTTTTAATGATCATAATAAGGACCTTGTATAACATTTCATAGGCTTATAGTGACAAAGTGTTTTTTTGTTGTACCTGTACAATCGTAATTTTTCGACTTGTAATCCTATCAAGATTAATTAATTCAACTGCGTTTAGGATTTTGTCTAAACTTGAATGGTGGTTTCGAAAGTTTAAAGAAGGTTGTAGTGTACGAACATTTTTGAAGGAGCTATCGAATTAACTGCGTTCGAGCAACAGGTGTAGTGTTTCTTGATACGTTTTAAAAAATGAGAGAATTGTGGGAATTTTTTGTTTTTACGTAGAGCGATAGTTTTGGACTTGCAGGTAGTGAATATGAAAGAATTTTTTTAAGGAAATTTCATGATGTTTGTAGTTAAAAAAGGAATTATTTATTATCATTTGGCGCGGTGTGTTTAACAAAATGGAGAAATTTTGGGGAATTTCGTTTATGAAGAGTAAGGAGTTTTTGCCATGTTAAAAACTTTAAAAAATATAACTTTCTCATTTTTTGAAACTAAAGGTACTGTTAAAAATGAATGATCCAATGGAAGAAAAGAATTTATCCATTCTAATGATTGATTGAACTTAAAAATGAATATCCGTTTAGAAACTAATCTTTCTAAAATAATATAAAACAAAAAACTTGATTTATTTAATGAAATTTGATGAAATAACATGCATTTGGATAATCAGAATATCGTCAAGGTAATACTATTAATCCTAAAAAAAGCTGAGTGTATTTTGCTTAAATGGTATTCTTCGAAAAATGTATGAAAATAAAAAAGATATTGTTTTAACATGAAAGGAAATAAAAATGACAAAATAATGTGCATACTGAAGCAACGTCCTCCACTTATACCTTGCCCATTAAAATTGATAACATATACAGTATAATCGCTGTTGGTCAATATTGAATAATTATACTTTATGTACAAGAAGCAGTAAAATATATTGAGCACAGCCTACTTGAATAAACGACTCATAAACACAAGAATGTTATACACATTTTTCTACTTTAATAACAATATTCACAATGAAACACCACTTGACGTTTCAATTATACAAACAATTATTAACACAATACTTTTGCATTTAATAAATGGTTCGTATTTTACGATCTGTTATGCTTCAACTACGGCCTTATAATTTTCTGCATCGTTAAGAATTATCATTAAAAGAAATATTACTAGATTTAAAGGTCTAATTGATTTAATTATAGAAAGTTGTCCAAATTTTATTAATAAAGAAAAAACACATGAAAAAATAAGTTCTAGAAAAAAGATTGAAAGAAAGAAGAAAACTTCGATTTCATATTTTCATATCAAGTTTCGCTTTACTTGAAACATTAATTTTAAAGAAATTAAGGAATATTGTTATTAAATAGAAAGAATTGTTATTATGCTTTGCAAATAAATTTTTTCATCCATTCATTTAAAAAATACATTGTTAAATCATTCATATATCATGCTTATCTTTAAACAATATTTACATTTTAACGAAATGTTTTTCTTTTAATATATTACCTTGTTAAGTAAATTCACATATTAAAACTTTTCCAAAAAAATTTGCAATATGAACTATATTCAATTTCCCGTAAGGTAGCGTAGAAACCTTGTAACTAGTTATCTGCAAAGTTCAAACGGGGTCAAAGCACTAGCGTTTTACATTGACACTCGCAGAATTACTATAGCAAATACTTGAAAATCGTTGAACTCTCTTACAGTAAGTTCATTTCAAATAATTGTCCTTTTTTACGACAAAAATAAAATTAAAATTTTTTAAAAATGTGCAAAAAAAAATTTATTATACCGATAGTTTCAAGTAGAAAATAAATAATTTAAAAATGACATTTAGTCGTACTGTTTTTATCATGTAACTTATAAAGTATCCCATTATTTTTCAATATTGTAATTAGTTCATAAAGTTTCGAATGAAGCTTTTTTTCTCAAATTTGTTTAAAATAAAATGAAACAATGAAAACAGTAATTTAAGTATTATAATAGTTTAAAATAAAATTCTGTAATAGCTTGAAATAATATTTTCCCTATGAAAAGTATAATTTACTATATTTATACTATGCAATAAATTATATTATGTTCTTTCCCATTCTTTGAAACAACGATTTTCTTTTCGTAAAAATCAGTGTTGAGTATAATAAAAACCGAGAAATGCATGACATAAAGTTTACTTTACTGAATATGTTCGAATTACGAAGAACTGTGCTGTAAATTAACAGGAAGTATTTGATCATCCGCGAGCACTTAATACCGAGAGTTTTAGCAAGTTGAAGTAGGTTAAACATTATCATTGATACATTATAAAGACTGGATAATTAATCTGAATATAAAACGCACGTAATTTCAAATAAAAATACAAATTTCTAATGTAAATAACAAAAATGATATTATAGGTTATATTATAAATATGCATTACAATTATAGGTATTTAATTATTTGTATTATTAACGAGAAAATAGAAAAGTGGAAAGAAATTCTTCACTTTGATAATAAGAACTGTATTGTAAGTGATCAATTAATTATCAGTACTACTTATTTATTTTCCGTTTTAACAGATATTTAATAATAATAAATTTTGAAAACTAAGATTTTGGAAATGTTTAATTATAAAAGTATCGATGAACGACCAAATTAATTAATTTTTCAGATCATTGATAAATATTGTAAGTAAACAAAAAGTACACGGAAATATTACGATATACAAAAGAAATAGTATATGTAAACATACCTTTTTCAGTAAAAACTGTAACATCATCCTCCAGCAATAAAAGATTTTTAATTTCTCCACTTTTACATTTTTCAAAGTCAAAACCAAAAATTCAGTTTCTTATAATAAAAATTAATCGACAATACTACACAATTTCACTCTTTTATATAGCAGATAAAAAGATTCTTCAATACCACTTGGCAAACTATGTATACTACCAGAACGCGAGTCAAACGTGTTATGACTATTATCTAGGCACAAAGAGAAAATTTAACGATTGCTACACAGACAAACAAGTATCTCGAAGAAAATTCACGAAACGTTATAATTTCTCTAATAGAGTGACCGTGAATGAGTGTTTATCGTTTTGCTCAACCTTTGTTCCGAAGATGACCCTACTGTTTTGCTTACTGAACTTCATTCCTTCCTCCTCAAGCAGTTACACTTTCACGATAAACGCTCCTTGTAATTACAGTTCCGCCTTGGAATTCGAAACGTTTCCGGAAGATACAGACACAAAAACAGTGTTGAAAAGTACCACTTGTTGGCCAATATTTGTCGACAAAACAGTCTAAAGGTGATTGTGGATAAAAGTAGATTTGTAGGTTAAAATATTTTAACATAATGTTATATGAAACAAGTGATAATTCTACATATTTCAATTTTTATATGTTATTTTTATTTATCCTTTAAAAGATAAGATTTGTTCAAGTTAGAACTTCTTTAAATCATACCGATAACTTGTTTTTTAGTATGTGACTATCTGTAGGTAAAGTAGAACTGAATTACTTGATCTACAGACGATATACAAGATCTTTTCCTTCTTACTTTACCTGCCGATTTGACATTAGAAACTATGAGATACAAGATCACAGACGAGATTTAGAGTAGACCACTGAAATCAAGAATACTATGCATTTGTTATTTTAAATAATGAAGGAGACAAAATTTCGAAACTTAGGACGAATCAGAATGGATTCAATCACACACATTTGCGATTCGGGATCCAAGGGTGTATCGACACACAGTAACAATGCACACACGACCAATATCGATTTTTTTGCGCGATGCAGTTCTTAAAATGACCGTTCTTAAGCGTAGAATGCGCTTCAAAACCAGTGGTTCTGAACGACGTCGGTATTACAGATCGTGTGACAAAAAGTCCCATATCAAATTGAGATTGTTATCAACGATGGTAAAGTCGACAGTTGTAAAAAAAAATTCTATTTTATTAAATCTGCATATAAAGATACACAAATACGTACATAGTAGAACTATTGTCGACCTTTCGACCTAACACTACATTTATTATAATTCACCTTTATGTACTATGAAAATCTGATATTAAAGATATCGATACATATTATACTAAACTAAATACGATCTTTTACTATGGCAGCCAATTTGCCCGTATTATTTGCTATACAATTGTAATTGTATATCAAATAATATCGATTGCCCAGGCCTCACCACGTGGAGGTTGCTGCGAATGGAGGCCCGCCCTAACCACACGGTCCCATCCACCCTCCTTTTACGCGCCTACTATATATTTTCTACTTGTTAATGCAACGCAACACCTCCTACTGGATTGTACATTTGCAATACGTTCAAATTTTCGATCGCTGTGCAAAGGGACAGTAGCAGGAGACTGAAAGAATTTTAAAGTCGACGAGAGAGAAAAGAAAAACGAAAAAAAAAAACATATTCAGAGTATCCTATCAATTTCAACTTAAAGTACTTTAAGTTTAGCTTAAACTTATGTTACGCCTAACTTATAGTATAACTTCATTCACACTT